GCGGTATTCTCGGGGATGCTAAGCGTAATTGGACTTGAAAACAACAAGCTCGTTTTCTACGCGCGGGCTCTGCTGGAATGTGTCGCACCGAGGTTTATTTTCGATTCCTACGAATTCTTTCGAAAAAAAGGATGATATTTTTCTTTCTTTTATTTTTTTTTCTCCTCTTTTTTTTTGTTTTGGCGAAAGATCTTTTTCCTCGTGGCGCGTGGCGGTGTCTAGAGAATTCGATATTCGATATCACTGAAACGAGTTACAACGCATTATCTAGGCGTTCGCAATTGCCAAATTTTCTCTTTGGCTTGTATCCTTTCAAAGTTTCCCCGTTATAAAATTCGCGTAATCGTTGCGTAAGCTCGCGCTGATTACTCTGATAAATACAACAAATTTGATGTCTGCTTTTTGAAGCATTGAACTTGAAGCGATAAACATTCCTCGAAGTGAGATAAACATCAGTTAAACGACAGACAGCTACACTCGAGATTAGAGTCCGCATGGGGGACAAAAAGAAAGCACAATAGTTGCGCAATAGTTTTTTCCCGATTCACGACAGAAGACAGGCTTGGTTCGCGCTCTCTCTCTCTCTCTCTCTCTCCCTCGATCTTCAAACACGAGTCAAAAGAATGTGTACTGACGAAAGCGCGCGGTGCGTTAGAAATGTGCAGTCGCCCGTGCCTCGTTTTGTCGAGCAACAAAGCGATGATTATTTATAAACAATGGGATGTAAAGTAATCGGTGGGGAAATTACGAGATATTTTATATCGGGTGCAGGCGCGCGTTCCTATAATAAAAGCCGTACCGCGAGGCGCGTGTCCGCGTATATATACCCCACCCCTTGACAACGCTGCACTTTGTGCCAAAAATTCGATTTGCTCTTTCGTAGCAATCTGCGCTGCAACGACGCTCCTCTCTCGCGCTCTCTCTCTCTCTCTCTCTCTTTCTCTCGCGCTTTATTGCTCGGAGAGAGAAGTGCTTGACTGACAGTGGAATTTTCGACCTTTTCTTCGTCTGCTTCTCCATCTTCTTCTTCGTCCTCTTCCCCTTTTTTTTTCTTTTTTTCATTCGCCAAGCATATTCGAGATCCACGGATTTTCGCGAAAACAACTTGGAATGCGCTGATTCCGAAACCGTTGCGTAAGTGCGCATAGGAATCATTAACGCGCGCGACAAAGGAAGTATATCCCTCAAACTACGGGAGCAAGTCATTTCTTGAAAAACAGTGTACAGCTAGAATATTGTTGGAAATCAGTCGGAATGTCAAACAAATAATATTTGGTGGCGTTTGAATTCTGTTGAACACGAATTCCTATTGCACATTGAAATTGTTGCGAGTTTTAATGAGTAATTTGGTACTCGCATAATGTACTAAAATCAAACGAGTTGACTTATGATTTATGTCAATTCCGTTCCAAATCTATTCATATCCCGTGAAAACAGAAATCTCGGTGAAAAATCTATGAGAACAGATTGTCTTTCCGAAAATGTGTTCCGGCGATTGGGTATGTACTTTGTCGGTGTGTCTACGAACTTGTCATTTCTTTCTCCTTCTCTTCGGATAGTGTCTTCTCAGGTAGAGAAAGAGATAGAGAGAGGGAGAGAGAGAGAGAGAGAATCTGCTATACAAGGCTCGATGAACGTATAGGCCATTGCCCGGAATGACGGCTCGGCCAGAGAAAATTGACTTTGCTCCGAGTCGTCCGGCGCCTCCTTTTAAAATCTCGTCGACAATTCTTATATATATATATATATATATATATATATATCCGCTGCTCGCTCGAGCGTCCTTATACCAGAATCTCTATTAATAAAAACATACATAGTAGCCCTCTCTTTCTCGCATAAAAGTTTTGTTGCATCGTTGACTCACCCGAATTTTCCCTCTCCTCTCTCTCTCGCTCTCTCTCTTTTTCTCGAGAAGAAGCTCTACTCGCGCGATTCCGCGTTTTTACTGGCAATTTGCTCTCGTTGCCAGCAATTGCTCTCGGCCCGTAATCCTATGGCGAAACGAGTGTGCGCGCGCGCCTGATAAGTTTCTTGGAATGTCGCGCGAAAATCGGCCACGAAACGCGGCGCAAAAAGCCGCGCGCGGCTCTAAACTGAATTCCTCAATTAAGCTCTACACATCTCTCGCGCGCTCGGCCGCGACCGGCACTCGAGAGATATCGTGCTTGCAGCCGGCGACGACTTGGGCGGTCGCGTACGTGCGCGAGCCGCGCAGACGAAATAAAGCAGACCTCGGCCGCGAGACGGGCCCCCGCTATTACCCTTCGGATCCGCGATCGGAACGACGCGCTTGTTCGCCGCGATGCCTCGTGGCACTAAAGCAGGCGCCGCGCGTCGCGCGGCAGCGTTATTTCGTTCGGTCGAAAAGCCCGCGCGTGCCTTCCGTTCGTTCGTGATGAATCCGCGTGGCACGCGTTTACAGGATGTCTTTTGGATACTACAATTCGTCGGTACCTACGCGGGAATGATTGTTGCGCGCGTTCTAGCGACTGAATCACTATTGTTTAAAATAGTTCGCGAGAGAGGGGGGAAGAGTTAACAGTGTGCTATTTGAAAATTCACTCGCAAAGAGAAAGGCTCCGGGCAGTTAGCGACGCAGCTGGAGAGCCGGCAAAATATCTGTCTCGCTACTACATAGCGTTGACTCTTACTACTTAAGAGTGAGTTTCCCTCGCAGGGTACGCGAATGGGATGACGACGAAGACGACGGCGCGTCCGATTGCGAATCTGCGAAAAATCGATCGCGAGCGAGAATGCAGAGCAAAGATCCAGCGTAGGTGCGCGATGTCGGCAGAGCGGACGATGAAAATTGAGCGCAGCGGAGCAGCCTCAGTGCCGCCTTGAGGATCTCCTTGGATCTCGGACTTTCTCTCCGCGTGGCGCAGGAGAGAAGGTCTCTTGCCAAATATCGGCGCCGAATATATTGCGCGCTCATCGTAACGGTCGTCCTGCATTCTCGCGCCGCGGTCTCGCGTCGGGCTCGCGCGCAGCCCGCACTAAATATATACGCGCGCTCGGCATCAACTTCCTCTTATTCTGCAGTAGCTGTTCCCCTCCGCGAGGCGCTCGCGCAGCTTGCATACTGCCCGCGCGATGTCCCCTCCAGCTCGGATGACTGCACCTGTGTGTTGGTGCGCTGCCAGCTCGCGCGGGCTATTTTGACGGGAAGGTCACATGACTAGACGCTCGGCCAACGCCGCCGTGCCCGCCGGGAGACACCGATACGCCCCCACCCGCGGCTCCGCCGTCGCCGCGCTTTCACCTCGCTCACTGCCGCAGCAGTGTCATTTGAAAAAAGATAAAGCAAAAGCCAAGCGGGAGAGCTCTACGTGCCGAGCGACAGCACGCTCAAAAGATCATGAAAAATCCGCGCGGCTTTATACAGCTCGCGGCGCGCTGGTAGGAGATTCCGCTCGCCTCGCCTCGCCTCGCCGCGCGTGTGCCTTTGGGCGAGTCGCTGAAGAGAGGATTATGCATACGCGCCGACTTAGAATAGCGCGCGATAGTCGTTTTCATATATGCAGATACGCGCATGCCCGGGCTTTTCCTTTTGTCGGCAACAGTCGGCAGAGAGAGAGAGAGAGAGAGAGAGAGAGAGAGAGAGAGCCTTGCAGAACCTCGCTACGTCGATTAGCACGAGCGATGCCACGCGTGCGCTCTCCCACTTGGCCCGCGCCTAACGTACACGTGTTTATTTACCTCGTATCACTTCGCGAAGAGGGAAGATGGAAGAACGTAGTTTCGCCCGTGAAAGCCCTCCCCCCTCTGCCGACAGATATTGTTCGTCGGGCCGCGCGGCCGGTTTTTTTTTTTCTCTATACACCGAAAACGACCAACCGTCGCGGCGGTGCTTACGCAAGTACGAGCGAAGACGACGACACGTGCGTACCTCGACTTGATGCCTACGAGCCCTGAAAAAAAGAGGAGGAGGAAGGAGCGGGCTCCTTCTTCCCTCCTCTCTATCCTCCCACGGCAGCAGCCAGAGCGCACCCTCGTAAAATCCCCGGGGCAACAAAATTTTTACGATTGCACGAGGAGCGAGGCAGGAGGCTTGGCTGAAACAAAAGGGACGCGAGGTATATAGGCAGCGCCAGCGGTGGCGTGTGTATAGAGTGAGGATAGGACGACGTTGAAAGAAAGCCGGAAGCCGAACGCATTGCGCGGAAAAACTACTGCGGCGTTAATAATATCGTGAACGCAGCGCGCGTGTAAAAGCGCGAGTAGTAAGTATATCGTGCGCAAGCGAGGTGTTGTAAGCGTGCATGGCTGGGAAAACGTTCGCAATTTTTTACGGCTCGATAAAAAGAAACGTGAAAGAGTACGCGGAAAAAAAAATAGCGAGCGCCAATCCGGAATTTCGGAGCAGTCGGCATATAGGAGCCTCATAGAAGGAACAAGGGGCGCGTACGAGAGAGAGAGAGAGAGAGAGAGAGAATGGTCGTTTGACCTTAGAGGTTTCGCGGGCCCCGGTCGTGTGCTGTTCTGTATGTATAGGTATAAAGTACGCGGCATTCGCCTGCACGTGTCGCTTTGGCGAAGCGAGCGAGCTGCTGCTACTACACCTATAACGTGTACGTGAGTTCGCTAGCTCGCGCGCGCCACATCGGCTCTCCGTATAGCTATATGTTATGTACGTATACACTCTACGTTGGTACACACGCACGGCACGTGTGTATACGCGCGGAGAGGCAGCGGTTCATCGCGCGGTCGTCAACTACCACCACTACGTATCTACTAGCGCTTACGCGCGCGCGAGATAGAGAGGGAGAGCGAGAGAGAGAGAGAAGAGAGAGAGAGAGAGCACGAGCGCAAGGCTCTGCGTCGCAAAAACACGTCGTCGCGGTATCTCTCTCTCTCTCTCGCCACCACTCCGCCGCTCACGTACACACGCGCGGCACAGACACGGAACAGAACAGACGACAGCGACGGGGAAGGCTCGGCCGCCGCCGCCGCCGCCGCCGCCGCCGCCGATCGATACGCCATTGCGGCGCGGCGTGCCAAGTAAATCGGTCGTCGTCGGGCGCGCGCTCACCCTTTCTCGGCCGTTTGCTCTTGCGTGTGTCTGTACGTATACGTGCACGGGCGAGCACACAAGAGAGAGAGAGCTGCGACTATGTGTGCGCGAGTCGGCGAGGCAGCAGCGAGCGCCAGAAAGAGACAGCGACAACAATAATAGGGGGCCGCCACCGCTGCGCGCTGGCTGGCGAGGCGAGAGAGTGTAGTGGTGTGGTGCCGCGGCCGCGCGCAGCCGGGGGCAGACGCGACGACGGCCAGACGAGGAGACTCGCTTGCCTCGCCGCCACAGCAGTAGGCAAGTGGAAGAGCCAGGGAGCGGATCGGTGTTTGCTGCCGCTCTCTCGCTCACTGCCGCCGCCGTGCCATACACACATACGCGCAGATATCAAGAACATACACGCGTACATCCGTACACCTACCAAGAGAGACAGGTATAAGAGGAGATTGCAACTAAGGGGAACGACTACTGCTCTGCTCTATTATACTCCTCGTCTCTTCCTCTCTGCCTCTCTGGTACGGCTTAGCCGATCTGATATATTATTCGTGCCAGCAGCATACGACGCAGCACAGCAGCAGAAGCAGACAGACATACAGTGCACTTATTCTGGCTCTATATTTCAGTGCGTGTCCGAAAAAGAGACCCAGAAATAACAGCAGCTCCGCAAGAAACGGAGCTAAAGCAGAAGTGGGAGACAGATATTGAGTGTCGCCGGTCACCAGGAGGCCAAACCCGAGAAAACTATACTGTCGCCGTCACCGCCACTGCCGCCGCCGACACCAGTCAGGCCACCGACCCGCCGAGCGAGCGAGAGAGTGGGCTGCGACGACCTTCGAGGACACGCGTCCAGAGAGAAAGAGAAAGAGAAGGATACGCGCGAGACGGCGTCCGAGTGTATATGTGCTGTACGTGTGTGGTGCTGCACGTAAAAGTACCTGCGTGTAAGTGAGCGAGTGCGCGCGCGTAGGCTGTTACGGTTTCTCGACTCTCTCTCGCACTTCATTTTTCTCGTTTTTCGTACGGATATATCTGCCCGTGCCACGGCTCTCTCGCTCTCTCGTTACCCAGGCCTTTTTTGCTCTTCTTCGAGCTGGAGAACCAGTTGACGCCGAGTTCATTTTTTTCGAACTGATCGATCCACCAGAGAGCAAGCAAGATAGAGAGCCAGTCAGCAAGAGAGAAAGAGAGAGAGAGACACACACACACACACACACACACAGAGGTTATTGCTCAGCCAAGTTCAGGGCTTTTTATTCTGCTGCTGCTGTTGCTCTCTGCGTGTTGAGCAACTCTCGAAGACTGATTGACTTACAAGGTTTCTTCGGTTTCTTCTGCTTGACTTTTTGGTTATTTTTTTGGCTTTTGGTGGTCTGTAGAGAGAAAAACAAGAAAAAGTGCCAATGGGTCCTCGGAGAAGATTTTCTGCAAGGACAATAGTGGAGTTGATGAGTGAAGGTTGTGAGTGTTGCTGCGGTTCAGGTGGTGATGTATTTTAGTAAGCAGTGAATGAAAGAGAGTGCAACCAAATGGTTGCCAGAGATGCAGCCCAAGATGAATCTGGATCCTTGTGTGAGGCTGAATGCAATCTATTAAGTGAGCCTGGTGTTCTGGTCTTCCCAAAGCTAGTTCTTGCAAACTAGTTGAGTCAAGCAGCAATGGAGACAGCATTGCCTAGCGATCCAATAACTGCTCAGTCGTATAGTCCACATTTGAAAACAGTTTTGAAGACATATCAGCTGTCTGCAGTAAAGAGTTTGCAAGGACCAAGCTCTGCCCTGCTGGGAGTAGACTGCAAGGGACTCTTACAGGAGCCAGCAAGCTTTTGCTTTTCACCGCCCACTTGTACTGGTAATTGTGGACTTGATGCTCTTCCCAAGCATGTGTCCATAAAAGAAATTGAAAAGAGGGAAGACTCACCTGTTCCTGTGCCACCACCTTGTAAGAGTCTTCGTACAGATCGTCCACTTGAAGATTCTGATGATGATCCACCAGAAAGACTAAAGGTAAGTGTTGTTTTTTATTTCAATCATACTTTTTGGAAATATTTATTTTAGATAACATGGTAATGAAAACATTACAGATAAACAGTAGAGAATTTAGTAACTGTGGTTGAAACTGATTATTTGTAAATATGTAAAATATACTGCCTTTCATAATAAATTTATTTTCAATTCCAACAAGTACCAGTTATTCAATTAGAAGATTTAATTATCAATACTCAGAGCTCCAATGAGCAAAATATTTTACAAATCCTTTATCATAGATTCATGCTTATCAAGAGTCTACTAGTTTTGATATATGCTTGAACAATTTGCAATTTGAGGAAAAAGTGTTATCAGTCAAATGTAATCTGTTATGAAAAGATTATAATACTCAAACTCACCTAAATGTAAACATGACTTCTATTTCTCAAATATGGTATGATTAGTTTGAGAAGCAATTGAGTAAATAAATGAAAATGGTAAAGTAAAAATTATTTTGCTGTAAATTGAAAAAGAATTTTTTAAAATAGTCAAATGAAATCGTAAATTTTTAACAATAAATTAAATTATTTCGATTTGATTCACGAGGAAAAGGAGGTTTATTTTAGAAAAAGCTGTTTTCCACATCAATCAAAAAATAAGTATCTGATCGTCGTTTTTTCGATTTCAGAAACATGAAAAAACATGTTGAGTAATAATCGATTGGACACAAACGCTTAAAAATTGACAGCGAACTGAAAAAAATCAACGTTTTCTTTGAAAATGACAGCTTACCTTTTTCACCTGGACTTTTTATTTGGTTTTTCGAATCCAAGGTCCAGGTTGTTTTTTTTCGGGAAGATGCAAATGATCGTTGTATTTGAGACGAACGATTTGAGGCAAAAAATAATCAAAAGATAGAAGGTATAATTTAACTGTTATTTAATTTAGAGTAACGTAAGCTAAATAACTATAGTGAAAGTGGCTTGAAATCGAGAATACTTGATATTAAACATTTTGAAAATCGTGGTTCAAGTCCGTTATCAAGTCAACAACAATAGCAACAATGTTTTTTTTGCCACGTCAGCGTATTGAAAATGAACTTTATTGATTCGCTGGGTTGGGCGTGCTCCTTAGGTATGCGAGAAGAGGGACTTGGAGTTTCAAATTCCGATCCTCACAGCGCCGGACCAGATCTGCTCGGAGCGCTGCGAAACGCTGCTCGAGGGTGAAAGGATATCCTGTTTCGTGGTAGGAGGCGAGCGGCGGCTTTGCCTACCGCAGATTCTTAACACGGTTCTGCAAGACTTCTCGCTCCAGCAGATCAACCAGGTCTGCGACGAGTTGCAGATCTACTGCTCGAGGTGTACGCGCGACCAACTGGAGGAACTGAAGCTGTCCGGTATTCTACCACGAAATGCGCCGTCGTGCGGGCTGATCACGCAGACTGACGCCGAGCGTTTAGTCAGTGCCCTGCTATCGAGGACTGAGCCGTATTTAGCGGCTGCCATTCGCGACGACATTATCGACGAGAAACAACGAATTGTCGAGCAAAAGAAACAGCAGCAGCAGGTCGACGTCGACGGCACCAAATCGATCTCGCGTTTCAAGGTGTATCACGAGTGCTTTGGCAAGTGCAAGGGTATTTTCGACGCGGATTCTTTCGCCTGCGAAGATTCGCCGTGCGTCGAGTGCATCGAGTGCGGTTGTAGACTGTCACCACAACATTTCGTCAGACACGCGCATGGCTCCCTCGAGAATCGCACTTGTCACTGGGGCTTCGACTCGTCCAATTGGAGAAATTATCTACTGTTGTCGCGCGATCAGCAGCACTACACCAAGGTGGCCAACTTCTTCAAGGAACTAAAGGACAGGCATGTCGTGTCTAACTCCAAGAGGAAGCTCGAGACGAGTGACGTAAGTTTCGATTTTCTTTTTTTTTCTACTGTGTTCCTTACGAAATTCAGTACTCGCGGAGAGAAAGTCTTCTAAATATTGTCTTTTTCCACTTGCAAACAAACTGTCTGAAAAATTACTTTTCAATTATTTAACATTTTTATAAAAGGTTGGCATTCGAGAAAAGCCGCCTGTCTACATAGAAATAGTCTATTAAATATGATAACGTCCAAAAAAACTTCCAGAAAGTAAATTCCAAAAAAAATGTATCGTTGAGATTTCATTGTTTTTATTTTGAGGAGTAAGACCGCCAGTAAAAAGTGGCGTGCAGACAATTGTGCACGGTTTTATTGTACACATAATCTATTGTGCACGATAACATGGCGCGAATCAACGTGTATTAATTCTTACGCTATTTTATTGTGCACAATAATTTGTGTGTATAATAAAACCGTGCTCAATTGTCCGCACGTCTAAAACGTGAAAACTGATAAAAAGAAAATGCTACGCATTTTTTGGTCTAAAAATAACAAACGAATTCTTTATTTAAGACAAACTATGCTCGAACAGTTCTCTAAAAATTGACATACCAAGTAAAAATGTAGGTTTTGCATAATACACATAATATGTCGCTTTCTCGCGTGATTCGGATTTTCTACGAAGCTCCCGCCGAGTCGGTTTATAGTTTTGCGTGGTGTAATTGCGGATCAGTGTTGACAGAGAGCGAGCAACGCTTGGGCTTATTTTTAGGACGGCTACGACGACGACGATCCACAATATAAACGTGGAAGGAATTATAATTTCCGAACGACAGTAAACGCCGCACCACGTGATTTGCATAGCCTTTAGTCGTAGCCTTTGTCTCGTAAAGGGGGGGAGCATTTATTTCGACTTCTCAGCGATCACCAGTTAAGTTACAGTACTAATATGTACGACATGCATGAGTATTGTCTGGGTTTATATATATATACACATACACACACACACTTTGATGTAGTTTTTCTCTCTCATTTCATTTTTGGCGGCGCTTGTAGTTATTCGAGATTATGTAAACGCCTAATGGCTTTGTTGAAGCTGATAGCAATAAAACGCCTTTGGAATAGTAAATTAAATCAGTATTTGCCAAGCGATAACGTTAATTATCTTGCGAGACTTTAAAAGTGCTCAAGCTAAATATATATTATCTTGTAGCGCCGGCTGCTCGGTTTATTATTGCACACTGTAACATTTTATTTGAATTTATTTGCGTTGATAACGCACATCAAATAACACATTTCTTCAAAATTCATCTTTGAAGATTACACGTGACACTTTTTGGATAATCTTTTTTAATTGATTTTACACGACATTTTAATTTCAATCGATACTAATTATACTACAAAATTTGTTTAACGCAGTACAAGCGAAACACAAAAGCCGGTGTTGATTCAAGTTGCCGTGAATTTAAATGATGGATGTCATGTTGATTTTATTTTATTTTATTCGTCATCTGATTGCTTGAGATATGGCAACGTAATATATTGTTATGTTGCGGCAAATAAGCACGTGTGTATGGTTTCGCGTTGAGATTTTAGTAGTAAAAATTCAATTTATCATAATTAATACGGGTCCCCTGAAGATAATCGAAGTAAACGAAATAAACTGCAGTGTTATTCTTTTAATACTCATTTTATGAAACTAACAGGGAGTAAATTATTTCGTAAAAGCAAAAGTAGGTTGGTTTGGAATTGTTCCGATTATTTTATAAACTAAAAAATACTTATAATCTAATAATAAGCACAATTGTTGGACACATTTGTGTTCTTAACAATTCATGATTTAAGTTTCTTTTTAATTGTGTTTCTATTATTATTATTCAATGTTTTTAATGGATTTGATAACATATTAAAAATTTCAAGAACCACAATGATATTACTATTCCTATATAACATTTTACTTAGATTAGGAAATTTTATACTTTTATTTCGAGTTATACTGTTTGAAAGTATATATTTTAAGAGAAATACTCGATGCAATCTTAATTTTCCATTTTGAATGCTTTTTACATCAATTCTTAATACTTAATTTTGTAAATTTTTGAAATGGTACAAGATCATAACACATGCACCTCCCCAAACTTAGACTTCGTAATTTATGATACCATAAAAATAAGCATATCATATCATTAATAGAGATTTAGTACTTATGACTTTAGCTAACTTGTATGGAATATAGATCGAATATTTTGTCTTCCTAACAATAGATCGGATATGGTCCGATCATGTTAGTTTATAATTAATAATAACATCTAGTTATTCACATTATTCAATTCTAGTCAAATGTCTATATTTATCGTTAATTTTTCAATATTAAGCCAAATAGAAATATATTTTAATAGTTTATTCATTTTATTTATTGCTGCCTTCCATATCTTAACACTTATTATAACAACGGTGTCATCAGCACAGTACATTGGAGAATCATTTGACATATCAACAAATAAATTATTGACATATAGAATAAATAATAATGGTCCTAATATCGTACCTTGAGGTGCTCTGATATCTATCTATTCATAAAAATTACTTACATCACTAAATGTAGTTCTTTATTTTCAATTTGTTAATTTCTGCCTTAATTTTGTTCCTGCAATACAAAAACATTTATTCGTTTTTTCTGCTATAATTTCTTTCTCAATAATGTTTGTACTATAATCATCGACTATATAATTTATGTAATTACCAGTCTTATTACTTTTTCCTAATTTTTTATTTATTTATTTATTTCCATAATAATTTTTGTTTTTATAACTACGCTTAAAATGTTTCCGTTCATATTTATATTTTGCATCTTTAATAACTTTATTCAATATACTATAATTAAGCTACTTAAACTAGTTCATTGGAGAATTGATTTTTCCATAGATTGTACAAACGTTCTTTGGTATAACAAACTGCAATAATAGCCTTAGTTATTCGCTTTTTCCTGGGCATTATTTATTTTATGCATTATTTTACTTTTTTCTTTATCATTTATTTTTGCTGCCTTAACACAATTATTGATTTTGTTAATAATCAAACTGTTATATTAGGATCTCTTAAAAGTAGTTTATTCCAATGTCTTGTATCAGAAATTTTTTAAAGCTTTTTATAATATATTCGATCATAATTCATTGAAGTAATCATTTATTATATCTGTACTTGTTCTACTAAAAACACTTCACTTGATTACTATTACATACATTGGCTTAATGTTTTCCAGTAGATTTTAAATAATTGTCATTTCTACATTTACTCATCTTGTATTTATATTGACAGTATTTGAAACATTGTTTCACAATGTAAATATGAAAAGTCTTACAACTTTGACAGCCGACCAAAATTCTCATTATTTTTTAATATCTTATATAATGTAGGAATATTAAGTATTATCCGTGTATCAATTGTTTCAGGATTAAAGTATGAACGTAAGATTTTGCATTTCTCTTCATAACTCAAAATTTTTTTCATCAATATCTTTAACTAGTTTGTCTTTACTCTTATTCTCAAAATTATTAATTTAAACTATCATTAATTTAGGATAAATTACTTCTTCCTGTATAAGATTGAAATCAATGTTGTAGTGCCGTAATCTTTATTCAAAGAGTATTATAAACGTGCAATAGTAATTTGATACGTACAGTTGAAAAGAACTAAAGATTATTTTCGATATAATAAATTTTGAATACACAGATCTGTTTTTCTAATACACATTTTCCACTGTGATATGTGTTTTGAAATAAAGTTGAAAAATCCAAAATTGAAAAAAATAATTTATATTTAATATGCTAATCAACAGGACAAGAAATAAAAAAGAAGAGAAGACCGCGCGAAGCATGTTTGATGTCACTAGTTTATGAAAGGTTTTGAATTGGCAATAAGAAAAGGAATTGGGTTGAAAAAGGATATATTGACGAAACACCTCCAATTTCATTTCAATAAAATAATTTTTTGTCGATTCATGAAAGGTTATTAAAACATAAAAGATGTTTCAAACTTGAATGATTCATGCTCGATGTGACAATTCTTCTACATTGTAGCTACAGCACGATAATTTTTTGATAACATTGATATAAAATGACTAATTTATTATACCATGCGCGTTTTTTATCGGTCCATGTATAAAAGATTTAGACTTTGTGCGCGCGCGCGCGCGCGCGTGTGTGTGTGTGTGTGTGCGCGTGCGTGCGTGCGTGTGTGTGTGCGTGTGTGTGTAACAACATGATAAATACGCGTATTTTTTGATAAATTTCATTTTTTCGATAAAATTATTTTTTTAAAATAGTCTAAAATAAAATTTTATGTACCTGAAGATGATTGAGTGAATTCTTCATGAATATAGTTAAGTTTAACTCTTACATGCATCACATTTTCTTATCACATTAAAGATTCAAATTACAGTAGCATTTATAATGAATTTTGATATTATTAATTTATATTATCAAATTCCAGTTTATTATTTAAAAAAAAAGTTCAGGTTACTATTCATAGTTCGACGAAATTAAATGTTAATAACGTAGTATTTGACATCTTTCATTCAATAAATATAGATAATGACACAGTAATTAAAAATCGATACGTAATCCACGTATTTTTCCCTTAATTGTACCGAATCTCAGATAAGGTTATTTCATAAATTTTCCAGCAGAGACATCTTTTTGACAGAGATAAACAGATGTCCGATAGTGCAAGACGATTGCAATTGTATTAATATCACAAAATAATTATTTTCACAGATCCAGTATGAGTCGGAAAGGTTGATGAAGAAGCTGAAGAAAGACTTTGGTAGAGACGAATTCGCGGCAACTGTGTACAACGGTAACGGACTGGGTCTTTATCATCCGGCCTCGCCGGCGGCCGGCCTAAACGATCCTTATGTGCGAATGCAATGGGCCATGTTCGAGTTGGCCGCCCGCGAAGCTTCTGCCTTCAGGCCCTGGAATCCCGCGGGCTTTTGCAAACACAGAGACGGGTGAGCTGCTACCTCTGTTGCTGCGTATTTTGGGCGCTTTAATCCGGATTTGTCACTGTGCGCGCGCACATACACACACACAAACACACACACACACACACGCGCGCGCGCGCGCGCAGCGGACGCTGACGTTTTTCTGCCTTGCATTATTTAGATTTTATCTTGACCACCGACGTGTGTAACGTGAATTGTGCGAGGACAAATATGTATATATATATTCTAGGATTAGTTCAGCCGATATATTCCGTGAAGGTTTAAATATATATGGTGCTTATATATATGGTGCTTTATATATATATGGTGAGAGAAAAAAAACAGTTTGATAATTCGAATGTAGATGCATTTTAAGAATTAGTACTGATTTTTTTTTCTTTCTTTTTCTTTACTTTTTCTTTGTTTTTTAAAAATATGTGAACGCGTTAGTATTATGAGGTTCAGAAATCTAGAGTCACGGCGTTGTTTGAATAATAAAGACACTGCCAATTTTAAAGCGCAAAATCAACACAAAATCGAAGTATTTACAATATATCTATTGATATTTTGCGAAAATTCAAGACATTCCAGAAAATCTATACTTAGCCTTGCGACATTTATTTTCTAAAATTAAATTCACGCGTGAATACACGGGAAGAAGAATTCAGTTATAAGATTTATTATCGACGAGCGTTTTACTGCTCTGATTTATTTTCAAAATGCGTATATTATTGACCATCGCTCGCAGTTAGGCAATACGTTTAATTTACACTCGACGCGTAGTGCAATTGTTATAAATCGCGTGTATTTTAATGATGGACTAATTAAAACGTTGAATACTATTAGTTCTTCTCGACCGTATAGATACAAAATATTAGCGAAGTCTTTGATGATGAATTACAGCAGTAATAAGTGATTCAGCGCCGAGAAATATTTCGATTAATATTAACTATCGCAGTTTATTAAAAATATACTGAGAAATTAAATGAAAAAAAAACTTTTTTAGAGAGTTTATATAAGGTTTTTAAATGTCAAAAATATTTTATTTTTATAATGGAAAAAGCCCATTGTTTAACGCACCTTCATGCAGAAGAATGAGAGTGGAATGTTTAAAGTACATGTGAATCGTTTTCTTTTGATTTAATATGAAACGTGAATTTGTAGATTCTTGGAAAGATTTGATGTATTGGAATTCAAAAATTAATGAATATTAGTTTTATGCTTTTTCCTTGTAAAATGTGAAAGCTTGACAGATGTACGTTTAATACATGTGACTCTATAACCGTCTATTTAAAAAAATGGCCCTGACTACGTGCTTTTTTACATAAAATATGCCATCGTAGGCTAGTTACCTGCATTTAAGATACAATTTACAAGAAAACCTTGTAAATTTATTGTGAACGTTCTGATGTATATGAATGTAAATATGAAAATAAATAAATATGTATATGAAAATAAATTCGAACAAAAAGATGCTTATCTCTGTCAATTGTACTTTTCAGCACGACGTTGGTGCCGGCATATTTGTCGCGTGGCCCACCAGTGCTACAGCACCCGGAACGTGTTGTGCCAATGTCGGAATATGAGCGTTTCGAGCCGCACTTTCAGCCAAATGTGGCGTTGGCACCAATACCCACACCAGCGGCACCACCGTCCCCTGTGGTCGCGAGACCTGCATCACCGGCCTACCCTCACCACCACCATCATAATCATCATCATCATCGGCATCGACGCTACAGCCGACCAAGTAGTCCCGATGCTAAGGCCACCGCCAGTATCAAGATCGAGCAGCCACCTTCGCCACTACCCCCGCGCGAAGAGGAGGAGGAGGAGGGCAGTGCCGCTGTTACGTCGTCCACGGTGAGACAACAAACACTGCGTAATTCACTTGTTTTGTTTCGTCGTACAAGCGTTAATTTTTTTCGGCTCAGGATATGACAATTAAAACGACCTGAGCGCTTTGAATGCTTGCTCAATAATTTGATAAAAAGTATTTCGTAAGACTGGCCATAGGTGTCGAATTTTAAAGCTTTTATAACTACTGATGAAAGTACCCCCAGTGTAACTACGTGCTCTCCAATTAAAACATGGCTGTGTTTACTACGTAGTTGATGAATATTCAATTTGTTGCCAGTGTAATACTGTTTTTTTGTCATTGCATAAAGATCAACAGAGTCTTCTCAATGAATACCATTTTTATTTATAACTGAAGTAGTTTTTATTCGTTGCAGAGAATAGCTTTAACGACAAAATCGATAATACCGTGTGTGCGGTTTCGCCGCCGCTTTCAAACATTAATTATTGGCACGAACATTTCGTACTTGCTATGCATTTTTTATTTGGCGTATAAAAAGCCACGTTTGAATAATTGACATGATATGCACGTCACATTGTAAGAGATGAATAAATATTAGACTTTTGTGCAGTCGGCAGCCGAGCAGCCGCAAACGGAGCTGGCTAACTCGGCGTCATCGGAGCGTTGTAATCGAGCAGCAGATGCAGTTGACTGCACGGCAGCACTCGATCTCGAAGAACGTCTTCACGCCATCAACGTGCCCCAAGACGCGATCGAATTGGCGAGGCGCGTCACCGCTGAACTCAGCTCGGCGTCATGTCGCCTGGCTGCTCTGTGCCAAGAGAACGCCATGCTGCAGAGCGAGTTGCGCCTGCTGCGACGGCAAAACGAAAGCGCGGAAATAGCGGAGCTCGAGAAGGGCGCCGACGACAAGTGCCAGACTGCTGCTGTTGCTGCTGACAAGTCCGAAACGGTGGAAATCTCGAACGAACAACAGCAGCAACAGAGTAGCGAACAAGACGAGCAAAAGCGAGGCAGCTCGGAAAGTCCGAAAGACACGACGCCCAAGTCCAACGATTAAGTCTGCGTTCGTCTGTCTACCTGTCTCTATCTCTCTATATCTTTTATTACGTTATTCGTTCTGTTTTGTTTATACGATCAGGAGTAACAATATCTAAGTGTAAAGTGCGAATTATTACAAACAAAAAGAGTACAAAACCCTAGGTGCTACGACGTCGTTACGCTAGCCTACAAGTTCGACACGAATTTCCAGCGGCTCTTGCATGAGAAAAAATATAATATTAATATTAATACTATTGGATAAACGATTAGCTGTAATGGATTATTATTATTATTCGTAGCAATGATGAACGGTTAATAATGTACGAATCATGAGAGAACCGTCGACGCCAATGTAGCATACGTTTATTTTACACACTCTAATGCATCTCGTAGCATAATCTTTCAGAGGGCTAAAAATTTTTATTTTAATAAATAGGCCGAGCAGAGTTTATCGGCGACAATCTACGGGAGTAGGAGGCTCCGTTCGAGATTTCGGGCTATGTTGCCGCTTACTACCGTCATCGCGAAGCTTCGAGAGAGAGAGAGAACATGAGAGAGAGAGAGTGAGTGAGTGAGTGAGTGAGTGAGTGAGTGAGTGAGTGAGTGAGTGAGTGAGTGAGTGAGAGAGAGAGAGAGAGAGAGAGAGAGAGAGAGAGAGAGAGAGAGATTGAGAAAAAGAGATAGAGAAAGAGTAAGAGAGACGGGAGGGGTGGCGAGAGAAACTGCAGAGTAATGTCGGCAACCTCATCTCTTTCTTTCTCCTTCGACAATAATCTCGCGTTAAGGAATCCAACAAAGTGTCTGTTTATTGGCGGGCCTGATAAAGGCGTGAACGCGCACTCGAAAAAGATAACCAAACGAGTGCGCGCGCAAATGTATCTCGAGAGTACAAACAAGCCTCGGCCGGCTTAAAGGTTACGCGTGTGAAGACTATTACATACGCTTAATCGAGTCGAATTTTTTTTTCTATTTGCCAATTGCATTTCCAATGTAACAAATATACTACGAAACAAAAAGTTTTTTTTTTATTTTGCGAGCTACCGTACTAAAAATAATATTTCTTTTTTCATTCATCATCCAACGATGTGTATGAGCTTTCATTTGAATGCAGAAATTTTGTTTTTCTTTTTTTTCCCTCTTGACTCTCGAAGCTTCTAAAAACGGTGGTTTGTTTTTCAGTGACGAGTACTACAACGTAGTCAATGTTCAATTTTTTTTCACAGATATTTGTAATTCATTGGTATTGACGTATATACCTCAAACTTTACCTGTTAAAGCATATTCACGAAAGCGGTATGGAAGAGGCGAAATTTCTTAGAAAAGCCCGATTCTCTCCCCGCAAATCTAACCAAGTCAAATCGTACTATTCTAACAGATGGACACGATTGCGTATTTAGCGATAATCTAGTTATAATGAACTTTGTAAAGCGTACACATTTTTCAGGTGCGTTACAATATGAATCCGACAATTGTTTATGTAATACTCAATTGTGTATTCAGAGACATACCGATATATATGTAAGTGCAGCAGTGGACTACTTTGAAGATCTCTTGTTAAGCACCAAATTATGACGCATATACATACACATGAACACATGTACAGACGCTCACGCCCTATGAGGCGAACAAACATTTCTATATTTTAGACTATCAGATATTTTTGACAAGTCTCATCGACGAAACTTTTTTTATGTGCATTTTTCTTGTTCTTCCGTAGACAGAGCCTCCTGTTAACGCCAAAGTCAACATTGGGATACACACAAACTTTTTATATATTTGAACTCATTGTTTTTCTTAAATACGTCTTGAACAGTCAAGAAAGTATCGCGAGATATAAGTTAGAGAAAAATATATATAACGGTTATAATGATAGATTTTCAAAGCGAGATACAGTGCAGAAATATGGACATCGTAAGGAACGATATACCTGATGCATAATGTTCATTATTACGTTCTATGTAAACAAAAGTAAAACATACGCGAGATACGTTTACATTTATAATATATTACGATATCATAAGCAGTCCCACCTAAGATAAAGAATGTAATAGTCTACGTTTTTACATACACACTCGGTTATTATATTTATCTATAGGATATACAAAATACAATACATGATGCGCATCTTACGTACTACTTCATTTGATATAGATTTTTGAGGTTAATGTATGACAACAAATTAAAAATTTATTTAATTCAATCGTCCGACTGCTACAACTCTTAACAGACGAATTCACAATTGATGCTTTCTGTGTAAGCTTTAATCGAAAAAATATGCAAATTGCGTGAGAAAAATTGAATGCATGTAACATTATTTTTTTAAATGTAAGTGAATATTTTATCTCAAAGACGAAATTTCATTATAATGTACTACGCAGCATACATCGGTTGTGAAATGCTTTTAAAATGATATCTGTGGAGTTCATTTCTTTTGCGTATTAAAAGTGAAACGATTGAGAAACGAAATTCGCGAGACACGTGAGAATCTAATTATTTGTACATATTATATATAATAGAGGAGAAAAAGAAGAATATGAATTTGAATTCGATGTATGTAATTTCTTTCGTAAGGTCGAAACGAGTCAAAATTTCTAATCGAACAAGAACCGTACTAAATGTTCATGAGAAATACATTACAAATGCAAATTGACTAAAACATGAGTACCTATTTAAGTAATCTAATTATTCATTAGTAAGGGCTACAAAACAATCGTATTGCATTGTGGAATTTTATTGTAAATAGCCGTTGAATGAGCTGCATAAAATTATTATAAGTATTTAATATATTTGCAAATATTTTACAAGAAAACAAGGAACGAAAAAAAGCAATCGTTAGCTCAAGTTAGAAGGAAAAAATTAACGAATGAATTCAATAAACATTTGAAATGTTTCGTGATAATTGTATATTTATTGGGAAAATTTGTCTCGAACTTGCACAGCTCATTCGAAAAGTCATCAACATGTTTTCTAGCCTCAAAACTCTTAGTGTGATGCAGAGAAGAAAGATTGTTTACTAGACTTGCGCGTAAAACGTAGTATCTTTTTTGTGAACGTCGAGCGTGGTATCTTTATGAGAGTTGTGACAAGCTAGAAAGAAAAAAGAAAAAACACGAAAACAAAACTTTTAGTGAAACGAGTAAAAAAAGCGTCCTGGCGACGAAGTTGCTCGTTGTTTTGTAAAAATGAAAATGATTCGATGTTCAATTGTAAGAAAAAACGAAATAACACTATATTCCGCATAAACAGAAAGGAGAAGAAAAAAAATTCAGTTTTGTAGATACGTAGAGTGCTTTTCATTGATGAGAAAAATAAACTATTGAATGCGCGCCACGAGCGTCTCGGAATATCCATCTTCAAAATTTCATTGCAATATTTGCATTTCGTTGAATCGTCGATCGATTTTGTACAACTCGTGTACGTATTACATAATTCATTTTCGCACATACGCATGGAGTTACGCATTATAAACAGACAGCTTTGTTAATTGAAGACATAGACTTCCTTACATACTTAAGATTAGTACCTGTAATTGGCATAACGAGCCTAGAAATGAAGATACATGAATTGTGATGAAAGTTTAATTAACCGCATAATATTTTATCGAAAAATTATATTGTAAAAGCGAGAACTATAGTGCAAATACTTATATGTATTCTCAAATGTAACCAGTGATCCATTGAAAGGCAAAAACGAATCATTGTTAACAAAAAACTTTGCTACTGTATAATTTGTACGATCGCTCAAAAGAGTTTTTAAATTTTAATATTATATTGTCTTTTTATGTTTCTCTCCAAGTAAAATGAAACACCAAAACATATGAGTTATTTTATGCGGGATTCTAAATACATTATTATTTTTTATCTTACAAATGTGATAGCTATTATAAATAATTTTAATTTTGCATTTTTTGAGTTTTATTTCTGTTAAAAAAACATTGCATGTTGATTAAAATTCAGAAACTCTTCTTTGAGATACTCCGAATTCATACTATTGTTTTGAATTTCTGTCATAGTGATTTTGAAGAGTATTCTTAATAGATTATTTTCTCGATATGAAATGCTCAATTATTTGTATTACCACTTAGCTGAACCATACAAAAATATGAAACTATTCATGACAAACGAGAGCGTCGCTTTGACTTTTTTACATTTAAGTTTTAGAACTGGCCGAATGGTGTAGATTCGTTATAAAAATTGTTTCATGAATTAGCTATATTGTTAAAGAACATGAGTGTCATTAAATACAAAGTGCAAAGTGAAATTACATTTCTTTATTTCATATGGTATACAAACCTTTATTTTCATATTTGATGATTCTTATTTAGTGAAGTACTTTACGTTGTTTAAAATAATTTTTAATTAAATATCTAATTTAAAAAGTATGAACATTTATCATTATATCATTTTATGAAAGCTTCATAATTACATCAATAATGACATTGCAAAAGTTTGAATACTATTATTTTCTGATCAAATTGTTAAATGGTAAATTTATGAAAACTTTAAATGCACTTCATTTTGGTTTTTTTGCAAATTATTATTATATTTAAATTTATTTACTTTTATGTACCTTGAATAAATATTGTAGAACGCTAGCTGACCGACTTAAAGATACGCATGCGCATTAGGAGAAAAAAAATGCCAACATATTCAATGAAACGACACAAAAACAACAAACAGTTTGTGCAAGGTGTCGCCATATGCGAAGTGCAGCTGTTTTACGGAGCAACACGCGGGTTGCGTTGAATCATCGGTGAAAAAATACGGAATTTTCGAGTCCATCGCGCGCCGAAAACCAAGAATGTTGAATCAAGCAGTCGTAGAAGCCCTTTACTCAGCAACATACCTGGAAAACTATCTAGACTGTGTAGAAGATCTACCATTGGAGCTTCAAAGGCATTTGACACATATACGAGAATTGGATGCTACTTGTCAAAGTAAGTACAAATGATACTCTCCTTAAGAATTTCGCAAATACAACTTTTAGAAATTTTTACTTATTGCACACGCTTTCTGCGTCGTTTCGTGCTGTTCTTAGTTATTCATGAGAAATTGAAGGAATGTTATCAGCATTTGTTTGTTATTGCCCATGACTAATTGTTATGTAGAGATATCAACTGTAATAATAAGACAACATTGATATTTCAAAAGTTTATAATAAGAGGCATGTGATTTTCTATTTATAGATTATATCAGAGAAATTGATCAACAGCAGGAAGTACTTTCAAAAACTGGACTTGATGCTGTTACTAAACAAACTGCTCTTGAGAAACTGGAACAAGCTCTTCTAGCAGCAAGGAGAATTGGTGATGACAAGATTCAAATTGTACAAACTGTTCAAGATCTTATTGAAAATAAGAGTAGACAATTGGATACAGATTTTAGAAATTCAGGTAAGTATACAAGTGATTTGAAGAATATTAGTGTTTGGTTGTAATACAAATGAATGATGTAACTTTTTGTTTTATTGTTAAGATTTTGGAAAAGAACAAGAAAATAATGAATCCAGTAAAAATTCCAATCCAAATGTTCATGTAAAATCCAGTAGCAATGTTAATAGTAATGAGAAGTCAACAAAGAGGGCCAGGAGAACAAGGACTGAGACTTTGATGGAGTCTGCACAATCTATGGATATGATTGCCATATCAGAAAATAGATTATCTAATCCCAGCTCTTCGAATGGTAGTCAAAAGAGAAACGCAGCAAATGCAAATGTTGGTAAAAAAAAGAAGAGGAAATCCAAGACAGCTCATCAAAATCAGCAACGTGAAGACACACCACCACCAGTGGATGATGAAAATACAATAGATCCTGATGAGCCTACTTATTGTCTCTGTGATCAAATTTCTTACGGGGAAATGATTTTATGTGATAATGATTTGTGCCCAATTGAATGGTTCCACTTTTCATGCGTGTCTCTGAATACAAAACCAAAGGGCAAGTGGTTTTGTCCAAAGTGCAGAGGAGACCGACCAAATATTATGAAACCCAAAGCTCAATTTCTTAAAGAACTTGCCCTTTACAACAAAGAGAAAGAGGAAAAATCTTAGCAGTAGAGCAAATTATAAAATTATATTATTTGTAGGCATTAAGTATAAACTTTTTTTACAAATCTTTGAATATTGTATGTATGTACTTTTTATTGCATAAGTGTATATCATTGAGAATTTTTTAAATTGATATTTATATGTATAGATTGATTTTTTACTCGCGCTGTATTGTAAGATGTCAGAAAATTTAGACTCTATCTTTACTTTTTACTAATGTATTAAACTGTTTTATTGTTAACCAAGACAAGAAGACCAGAAGAAATTAAACAAATCAATGCCATATTCTAGTGTTTTTAGTCAAACAAACCTTTCTTATTTAACTTTCCAACGAAGCAAAAATTCTGATCTCGGTCGCTTCACCATTCATTCGATAGTCGTAGGCACTTAGACAGAGCGCTGCAGTTCCGTAACGTGACGCAACAAAGATCCTATACTAAGTACTAAGTGTATCTACCACAAGTAGCGCAAGTGCAAGCGAGATGGAAATAAAGATAGTAGAGATACCTGCTCGCTGCATGGCTTCAAGCATATACTACTGAAGGTAGCGCTCTAGTGGCTGAGCGCGTTACGACCAGAAGAGAGAGGTAGCAGATATGAAGTTACATGCTATCTCTCTCTAGTCGCACATAACTGGCTGTCTCGTTAACCCACGTGATCGAATGAACAACGAAACGGTATATTGTGTAAATATATGGCTTATATACAAAATGAAACTCAAGTGTTTTTATTTCACTAAAAAATAAGTTTATTACTTAATTATAAACATGCCAATTTAATAACAAATATAGATACAAAAATCTGAACACCAAAGGAGGGTGATAATTATAAACGATTTTATTTAATCTATATTGCTTCAGGTTCGCGCCTTAATGATGGAATTTTTTTAGTGTTGAAATGAAACAAATTACTATAAAATTTTTTTTTAATAATGAATCATAATTCTTAATTTATAGGTTTCTCTTAAAGTAATTCAGGTGATTACTTTTACATACAACCATATAGGTATACGTAATGTTGTAAAAACATTTTAGAAACATTTAAAATTCTACTTTAGTCTTGATAGTTCATTACAGTATAAGAGCGGGAAAATAATTTTTTTATACTATTAGCGCATTCCTTTCGTGAATCCCTCATCTTTTGGTACTGTAAAAAATGAAAATAAAAATAACGATAAAGTAAACATAACCATAAAAAATATATATTACAAATATAACTTACTGGAAAAAACTTAAATTTAAGCTGTCAGGATCATCACTTTGCAATCTGTAGTTTGGGAATGTATTACTTTTTAGCTATTTTCCATATTTATTTACACAAAAAGTTACCTATTAAACTATTTACCAACTGCAAAATTTGTAATGGAGCGATTTTTACAACACTGAAATAGGTAGCCAATCACGTGCGATTAGAGAGAGATATCATGTAACTACATATCTGATATCTCTCTCTTTGGCTGGTAACGTGCTCGTCCGCTGGAGCGCTACCTGCAGTAGTATATGCTCGAAGCTGCATAGATAGAAAAAGGACAGAGAAGTATTCTCGCGTCTGCGTTCTCTGACGAGTCGAAGCTCTCGTCACAAGAAGGGGCATTACCAGCTTCAGCGGTATACGACACACGCCACACACTCACCTTACACACAGTGATTTTCATATGTAGAGGAATAGAGCGAGAGAGAGAAGGGGAGGGGGGTCGGAAAGGAAGCGAGCTGGCGGTGAGTGGTTCGGTGGGTCGTTTGTGCCGGCAGTCTCACACAGAACATTGGCGGACGTCGCTCGTGTGTGGGATTTTGCCCTTTGAGTGTGTGTCTCGTTGCGTCCACGATTCTCCTGTGGAGAGCGACGCGCGCATAGTTCGCGCGTCGACGCCGCCATCCGTGTGTGTGTTTTCTCTATATCTGGCTTTCCTAGTATGTATAAAAGTGCTTTTGCGGCGAGATTTGGTGTGTGATAATGTGCGTTTGTGAATTTTAAGGGCGGCAGCCATAGGTAAGTGGCAGTACAATCACGAGACGCTGGGAGAGAGGGAGAGAGAAAGAGAAAAAGAGGCAACACAGTAACTCTACCAGAAACAAAGCCACCACGAAAGTGCATCGGCGTGTGTAAATGATGAGGACGAGTCTGCAGTGGCAAGAGCAGCAGCAGCGGCGAGGAAACCGCATTGTCTTCAGTGAGTTTGATCTGGCGAGGCGGACGACGACGAGCGCGGTACTCGAGGGTGCAAGCAGGAGGAGTGGTGCTGCGGCAGCGCTGGCTTTCGAGTCTCGATGATAGGCGGGCGGCAGCAGCCCGTCGCGAGGAGCATCGTCGTCGGAGCGGCGGCCGACTGCAACACTTGCAACAGCAAGCGGCCCGCGCCCGCGAGGATGCTGCTTACCACCTCGAGGCAACGACGCAGACGACGACTCGGCGTGGCGCCTTTGCCGCCTTCGTCGCGACAGCAGCATCTGAAGCATCGTCAGCAGCAGCTGCCCTTGAGCAGCTAGGGACATGAGGGCTAAGCCAACGAGCACCGAGCAATCCGGCCGATCGTTCACTGTGGCTAAACTTAGCTGACGTTTTTCCCCGTGTTAGTGTGACGACTAGTGTCTCTGTATTAATTTTTCGACTCCACGTGCGCGATAAAGCTGCAACTAGGCGAGTAAGAGGACAGACACGGTGCGACAGATAGTGCGCCTGTGCGTGGATGTGTGCGTGAACGAAAGCGAAAGAGATGATGAACCCTTCGATGGTCTACACCCTGTACGGGCTGGCCGTCTTCTTCATGGTGTTCTGGCTGGTGATGTGGCTGTTTCACGTGCTCGCGTTGATCGCCGGCCGCTGGAAGCTGCACCGCAAGGTGATGGCCGTGCCGACGTACGAGACCCCGCTACCCGGCGTCTCGATAATCAAGCCGCTGATGGGCGTCGACCCCAACCTGTTCAGCAACCTCGAGACCTTCTTCCAGCTGGACTACCCGGTGTACGAGCTGCTGTTCTGCATCGAGGATGAGCAGGACCCGGTGCTGATGCTCGTACACAAGCTGATCGAGAAGTACCCGCAGGTGGAGACCAAGCTGTTCGTGGGCGGGCGCGGGGTCGGCGTCAACCCCAAAATTAACAACATGCAGCCGGCCTATGAGGCCAGCCAGCACGAGCTGATTCTAATCAGCGACAGCGGCATCCGCATGAAAGAGGACACGCTGCTGGACATGGTCAACTACATGACCGAGCGCGTGGGCCTGGTGCACCAGATGCCCTTCACCTGCGACCGCGAGGGCTTCGCCGCGGCCTACGAGAAGATTTTCTTCGGCACTGTGCAGTCGCGCATGTACCTGGCGGCCGACCTGCTGCGCATCAACTGCCACACGGGCATGTCGGCCCTCATCAAGAAGGCGCTGCTCGAGGAGGTGGGCGGTCTCAAGACCTTCGGCGTCTACCTGGCCGAGGACTTCTTCTACGCCAAGTCGCTGACGGACCGCGGCTGGAAGATCACCGTCTGCTCGCAGCCGGCCATGCAGAATAGCGGCCACTGCGAGGTGCACTCGTTTCAGGCGCGGCTGCGGCGCTGGGCCAAGCTGCGCGTGGCCATGCTGCCCACGGTCATCGTCCTCGAGCCGCTCAGCGAGTGCCTCATTATTGGCGCCTGCGCCTCCTGGGCCGCCAGTTTGCTCTTCGACTGGGACTCGCTGCTCTTCTACGTGGCGCACATCTTCCTCTGGTTCACGTTCGACTGGACGCTGCTGTGCGTCGTGCAGAACGGCCCGCTGCCCTTTAACCTCCTCGAGTTCGTCATCGGCTGGCTGCTCAGCGAGACCACGCGGCCCTACCTCTTCGCGCAGGCGGTCCTCGACCCGATCATCCAGTGGCGCTCGAGGACCTACAAGCTCAAGTGGGGCGGCGTCGCCGAGGAAGTCAAGGCCAAAGTCAAGTACTGAACTTGCCCCCTGCTGCCGTGCTGTGTGTGCGTTTTTCCGCGGCGTGTGCGCTGTGTCTGTGATCGTCTACGCGACAGTACGACTGATGCGCGCCGAACGCTATCTACCCATTGAGCACACTGCTCGCTGCATCCGACACGCTCTCGTGCGGCTTGTGTTTCCGAAGCCACGAACCTCGGTCAGCGAGCGGACCATCCCGACGACGACCACGACGACAACCAATGGACCACTTATTATCTTATTTTTCATTTTACCGATTACCGCATAGTTAATTTATAGTAGCTCGTACAAACAAAATCGATTAATTATCGCGACACGCGCTGTTCTGTACGTATACCGTCTTGTCTCTGTCTCTCGGCTGCGCAGCAAGAGTTTGCGGAGAATGCAGGCTGTATTGGTGCGTTCTCCACGTATTTACGCGTTTTTTTTTTGCCTTTCGAGCCACGTTAAGTGAACAACAAAACAATACGTACGAAACCGCGAGTTTTATCGCGTTTTAGCAGCTCGCTAAACGTACCTGATACGTTTAGCTACCTGAGGCGTGCACCGACACACTCGCTTACGACGGCCTTGCCTCGTCGCGCCAATACGCCGGCATTTGCGGAAACATTCCGCGCGCAATCTCGCTCCCGCTGATGTGTCTGTTGCAATTGGATATTTATTTATTGTGCGATACGTCGTCGTCTCTCTTATTTTTTTGCGAACAATATGAAACGCAAAAATATAGCGTAACGCGGTTAATTAATACATTTTCTCACTTTCTCTCCAGCCGCACCCCCATCGTATGCAAAGATTAGGTGCGATATGTCTCAAGAATGTATAACGATACATTTGTATACAAGCCAAGTGTCACGGGGTTGTGAGGCTCGTCTAGGTCGAAGCACCGCCGACGTTTTTTTTTTACGCGTAGAGACATACCACGATTGAATGTTAAGTGGGATTGGTCTATAGAGTCTACCCTATTATTTCTTTTATCGTTCAAATACATAATGATATTACGGGAGTGACGAAATGAAAAGAAGGCACATGAACGCTAGCAGTTTTGTTTGCGTGGTTGGTGCTTCGACTACCTCGGCGAGCACGAGAGAGAGAAGAACATGTAAAATGTAAAAAAAACGTATTGTAAGGAGGTCGAGAGACAAGTTTGTTTTGTATAATTACTCTTGCCAACTGCGATGACGGTTATACTAGCTAGGGATTTTCATTTTCTTTTTTTTTTGTAACCTTGTGATCGATTCTCGCTCGTTTTTATTTATTCAAGTTTCTATCGTGTAGACTTTGTCCCGCGTGTTAATTTAAGCGATGCCCCTCCCCCCCTTCATTCAGCTGTAAAGACTTTTTACAAATCGATATAAGCATAATATAGAACGTATGTCGTATATACATGTATATACATATACATACACATATGCACGCACGCACACACACACACACACACACACACACACACACACACACACACACACACACACACACACACACACACACACACACACACACACACACACACATATATAAGCTATATCTGCCTGCAGTGGATGTTGAAGATTATGATGAATGACTTTGCACGCGCGAGGTTTAGCTTTCTTTCGATTTGTTCGATGTCTTTTAAGATATGTCTCTCTGATTGTTTTAACCAGTTGTGTCTTTCATTTTTTCTGTTACCTGCGAGCTATACATGAGAGTAAATGTTATGTATTTTTTATAACGTACTGCGAAGGTGTATACGAGTTATACAGGAGTATTTGTGTCAGATCCCATACGTTGTATTTTTAATATCTTTTAGGTTTTTTTTTTCATTTGAATTCATTGTTTAGCTTATATAGTTGCCTTGATGTAGCTGTCTCATCAAAAATCTTTTAAGTCAAAGTTTCCATGTTTTACTTTATTTTATTTTGTCAAGTCGAGCTAACGTTCTGCCCTCTTTTTTATACTTTTTCCGTTCTTTTCTTATTGATTTTTTCTGTCGTAATAACTCAAAAATCATGAATTTTTTACATTAAAATGAATTTTTACTCGAAACACTGTCTTTTTTATTTCAAATTTCATCATTCACATGTACTTTTTTTCAGCTATATCGATCGAATTTAAAACAAATGAATGACTGAACAAGCAAGTACACGGAACAAATATAGGTTACTGGAAACAGCTGTTCAATGAGAAAATAGATAACTCAAGACAGCTGTTCTCTAATATTTGAGCATACGCAGCTTATCTATTTCGAGTTTTTTAATGGCAAAGTATAATGAATTAAGGACGTGCGTGCGTGAATGTTCTAAGCGGGCTGTTTGATTTTTTAGGTAGAATAAGGCCATTGAAAAGCATGGCACTCTGAAATTAGTCTCGTGACTGATATATTCAAATTGGTCAGAGGAATTTCAACAGCTTCACGAGTCAATAATCGTTTCAGCCCATTGCAAGCTCGATTCACAATATTTTCATGACTTTTCGAATAGCTTTTACCAAACTCGTGTCTTTCTTGATTGACATTCCCGATATTTTCGCCGCACAATTCCTAATAATATACATTTTGTGCGAAGAAAAGAAAGTTTTTCCGTACTATTCTATACTCGTTCATTGCAACGCGCGTGCACGAGAGGCGAGGTTCTTTTTTACCTTACACGCGAGAAATCCTCTTCTCTCGCGCGCGAGCCTTAAAACCAAAGCAAATACAGATTTCTTTAAAAAAGAAAAGTCGTTCCTTCCGAACCTTCGACAAACAGATCGATCACGCCGGCGAGAAATCAAGGATCGCGGTTAACTCGTCGACACACAAGTTCCGACACAATGGGCGCGTGTGGGCAATGCACAAACGAAATTCAACGTGATTTTGCGTGCATCCTGCGCGCAGGTGCGAACGATAGAAGAAAATAAAATAAAGATTTTTTTTCTCTCTCTCCGATATACGTAGGTATTGTGTCGATTGCAATTATACACGTACAAACATCCGGCGACCCTCTCATCACCGCCGAGATTGCATAAGAGTCGAGCGTTGATTGCGGAGTTGTTGCCATTGACATGTACCGTACACACACATACGCGCGCGCGCACACGCACGCACGCACGCATACACACATCTTTTGTTTTTTATTTTCACGCACGATTTTCGATGCGCAATGACGCGCGCACATCTACCGGAACTATCGGTCGTGCATGTACGAACAGCGACTGTCGTGCCGGTGACGTTATTTCGATTTCTTTGGTCAGTATTTAGTCGACTTTGCCGCGTGCTCACTGTGCGCTCAAGTTGGCGCTGTCTACGCGTCGTATTGAAAAATACAGTAGCCAACGTGCTCAACAAAGAGATTCTCGTCTTATTTTTCCAGCCTCCTTACGTTCGGGCGTAAACCTCACACGAGGCACGAATCTACTTTCCCGCATTCGTTAGCTAATATAATATTCGAGTTCAAAGTGCACCCGGATGTTTCGCGAGATCGTCGAGCGATGATCGATCGAGAGATACGCAAAAGAAATCGCGCCGAGCAGCGCCTCACGTATAGGATAAATTCGTTATCGTGCGTCGAATAGAAGACAAGGCAAAGCATGCTCGTTACGTAAAGAATCCAGCCGAGTTTTTCCTTTTTTTTTTTTTCTCTTTTCAAAACCGAGCAGCAGGTACATTCGCAACACTGACGTAGAGAAAATTATGCTTTTGAGAAAAGAAATCTTTTGAACGCGACTTCTATTTTTAGCATTCTTTCTCCGTCTCGCACTGTCGTGCAGTACACGTAAACTTATTTCTGTGAGGTGCGCGTTCTGTGGGAACTCCATTAGGTGCAGTTTCGCGAAGGTATCGCGCGCGCCAAAGATATTGTGTGTGTTCGCGCTACAAAGGAAGCGAAACTATTGCCAAGCCCGCGCCGCGTAAAGGACGCACGAACGAGGCCTGCGATCGTCCATCGGCCTTCGTTACTCGGGAGCGCTCTCTCGACGCGGCCAACGGTCACCGCGAGCCGTCGATTCGCAAAAGCTGCTCGTGGCACTCGGCCGTCCAGTCCTCTGCACTTCGATCGCCGACGGTTCGCCAATTCTCTCTCCTTATCGTATGCAGTAACGGCTTGTGCATCTCGCCCGAAAAAGTTGTTAGAGACGCTGCGCTCTCGCTTTCTCGCGCGGACACTACAACTGAAACTCTCTCGCTCGAACGCCGCGCGCACGCGGTTCAAGGTTACCGTTCTCTGACAGTGACCTGGCTCACACCTTTAGCTCTCTTCTATCGCGCGTACATACTACGTGGATTTCTATCTTTCTCAAGCCAAACTAATTGTCATTGGCTTTATATAGTTTTGACTCTATTTACAACGGATGCTTTGACTGCGAGATAATGCGACAGTTGACTATAAGAGCTTGAAAAAAAATTCCACAAATTCGACGAACTCGACTGAAGGTTCTTCCAGCCGTTGCTTTTATTCTATGACTCAGTTGGTACAATGTTTACATCTTTATCTTGTTTATGAACCATTTCTTAATGCACGAAAGATTATATATTTCGCTTTACACTAGAATAATGGAATATTTTAATTATCTTTGCATGTGGTTTTCTCGGATTTTTATATGATATTCTTAGCACGTATTATTACTCTTGGCCAACTATGTTGTTACCGTTTTAGCATAATAATCCAAGTATCGCGTTAAAAAACAAAAAAAATATGTAAAGTTCCATTAGAAGCTCTGAATAATTTGCTAATATAGCCGCAATTGGATTTTCAATTACAAGAGTGCTAAATACATCAGCCAGTCGGAGATAATATATATATAGCTTTTGAAATTGACCGAGCGTCCCGCGAGATTGAGAGAGCAAATGCGGTCCGAGTGAAATGTCAGTAATCAATGCAGAAAAATGCTGTGACGTGCGTATCCGAAAACCACAAAACAGACACGGATCGGAAAGAAAGATTTTTGGCCCAATTGACATCATCCACGTTAGCGTCGATTCGAATTAACTGCGAGCTATAGGTATGTTGTATGACGTCAGTGGCACGCATGACATTATCTCGAATGATTTATATCGTGAGATCGCCTCTTCAAACATCCATAAATATCGCCTAATTACAGATAAGTTTTACGAGAACGAAAAATACCGAGTCAGGGAGTTTTGATTCGCGAGAAAGGCATCGTAAAGACAGAGAGAGAGAGAGAGAGAGAGAGAGAGAGAGAGAGAGAGAGAGAGAGAGAGAGAGAAAGAGAGAGAGAGAAACAAAAAGACACTCGAGAGACGTGGGCGTCGTAAAGTTTCGACGCGAGGAGGTAACTTCCACTAAAAAATGAGAGAAACAGACGGAAATAAGTGGATTCATCCCCGCTGGATGAAGATGCACGCTGCGCGCCGTGACTTTCATTCTTTCGCACGTTACTTCCTCGCGACCTCGTTCGACCGCTCGCACACAGCGCACTATTTTCCCCAGTATTATTCTCGGTCGACGAAATTTATTTAGTTTTTTTTTCCTTCCTCTGGCCTTCGGTCGAAGAGAGAACATCAGTTTGCATCGCAATTGCTTTGGTTTTAATCAGCAATCCAGTGTTCTTTCTCGAGCAAGCTTATACACCTTGGATTATTGATTTCACTTTTAATCAAATGGACACTGGCGCAACAATTTATTTAACGAAGCGTATGTTTTTGTACATTTCCACTCTGATAATCTAGCACTTTTCTAAATGGCACGAAAACGACAGCTCGTTTGCTTGATAAGAATGGCCATTCGAATTAGTCTAAAAGCGTTATTGCAAGACTATAGACATTTTCCTTTTCTTCGATCGTTCATTTCAAGTTCAACGCCATTCACTCTAGCGCCATCAGTCATTTAAACGTCTTTTCCGACAACGCCAAATTAATGGCGATATAAAGTTTCTTATCGGTCAATGGTTAGAAAATGCGCGCGCTCGAACAAAATAATTAATTGAAAGTGTATCTCGCAAAAAAAAAGAATATAAAAGAAGCATAGATATAAAAACGCTTAAAAATAGACATCTCCTTTTAAGCCTTTTAACGTACGTATGACTCTTTGTTCTCTGTCTGTCTGTCTGTCTGTCTCTCTCTCTCTCTCTCTCTCTCTCTCTCTTTCTCTCGCTTTATTTTCAATCTTGAGTCTATTGAGATTATGGATTTCACTTGCGTTGGTATGTCGCTCTGAAGAAAAAAGTAAAATCAAGAGCTACCTTTAATTTGCTGCACCGGCGCTCATGAGAACTTACATAGTTATTGATCTAGTATATGACTCTTGATTTCTAGTTTCTTTTCCTTAAATCTCTATACAGACAAGCTCACGCTGGCGGCATATTTAAAAAACTCTATTTACCGTAGTCCAACGTTCGCGTAACGTTGATACCATTAGTGAATTCATTAATTAGAAGGCTCGGCATGAGCAAAGATTTATTATACCAATTGTTCTTATCTTGAATTTAAAATTCCATTTGCCAGCTAACTAATATTGTAAAAAAAATGATAAGCAAACTATTGCGTACATATGAATTTTTTTGTAAAATTTAGCGAGTGCCAATTTACTGCGCGGAGAGTATCGTCTACGATACTCGCCATAATATTGTATGCGTTTTCTTCGAGAGATGTGTTCACTTTCAACGGCGATACTTACGTTTAATTTGTCTTTCGAGCCTCTGCACCTAGGACAAAAGAAACAAAGCAAGTCTGTTTTACGTTGCAACGCTAAAATGCAAATGTGTCTTATTAACTTAAGATTTTTCCATTTGCTACGGGACTTGCTGGGCAAAATAACGGCAAGCGTCGTGAATTTTAAGCTTTTTAAAAACTCGCTTTTTATTGCAAAGCCCAAAAAGCTTTGACAAAGCAAAACTCGCAAACGGCGATGATAATGATGCAGCATAACTAATCATTCACGCTCTTCTCTCTCTCTTTCTCTCACACTCTGGCAAATGAAAATATAAATTATTGAGTATAAAGTTGCTAATATACAATTTTTCTACATTTATACTTGAATAAAAAAAAAAACTTTTAACTCTTAAAAGAAATTAAAAAAAAAATAATGGTAAGACGCTACTGAACGCACTGCTTTTTTGTTCTAAGATGGCTTAAGCCTTATTGTAAGAATAAATTAATGATTAATATTCCTATTGAAACGACCGTTCGAATTAAACAAAAAAGGAACTGTCGCTAAGAAAGTAACAGGTATCGAGTGCTTTAATATTGTATAAAATAATCATCCAAATAAATGCATTGCATTTTTTCTTTGGCAAAAAAAAATAATAATTTCCACATAAACCAAAGGTTTCGCTTGAGTTGTCATTGAAAGTGAACAAACCTCGCGATTTTCTGGCAGTGATGTATGTATCGGAAAGAAAAACAAAAAAAAAAAACAAAAAAAACTAGCTCCGCGATGTTACATCCATTATAACTTATATATACATTGAGGTTCACATACATGTCTGTGATAATAAGTTTTAATTTATGTTCATGGCAGTTCGTTTATATACATGATATACGTGTATGTGAGTGCGCCAGGATGTGAACGCACGTTATCAGCTGATAAACAAAAATAAAAAATCTTTCACGTACATAAATCTTTCGTCATTGTCATGTGTATGCCAGTTGGAAGTCTGTGCGTGTATGCGAAGACAAATGCAAAAATAATGCGAGATCTATATAGTTATTAATAATTGAAGAAAGATGAACATTAAGAAAAAAAAAACGGCGATTGTAAAGACTATACATACAAAATATTATACAACACACGTTGATGCGTGCATGTGTGTGCATGTGCCGCTTACATGCGACAATGATAATTTTGTCGATACTGTATAAGGTTTTGAATGAGAATTAATAAATGCCATTTATTGATAATTAAATTATTTTATACTTATTTATCATAACGGCACGTCATCTTTAGCCTTTATCCTTTTCGAAATCGGCACGGGACCATCCGCAAATGCTCTGATGGGATTATTTTTGAGCGTGACTTAATGCCCATGTTTGCAGTTATGTGTCTGCGTGTACGTATTTACGCACACACCTGAATGAGATTTGGCGCGAGTATTATCACGAATCAGACGCGCGAGCGCTATATAAAGCCGTTTCAAATTAGAATTAAATGACGCTCTGTAGTTTTCTACGCCTGGCGAGAGCGATAATTGAGCCGCGTTAAGCGTTGATTACGCGCGTGCTGATTTTCGTTAATTACGAAGCTGTTGAAAGACGATAAAAAAAATTGGACGTTTTTTTCTTACGGTAACTGCCATTACTGCAAGCTGCCAGAGCTTTCGCGTAAAAACAAACGAGTCGTTAATGTAACTCTTTGGCTTTAGTTCTATCTTTTTAATTGTTGAATATTCATAAAATGCCATGGACACAAGAATTTACTTATTTTTTGCTCTTGCGCAGCTCGTTCCGCATCCGACCGTCGAGTTATCTATTTACAAAACGCACCTCGCCGCGTTGAACGTGTTGCAAGCCGCAGGTAATGCCAATTGCCTTTGGCCGCAATTGAGCTTTCGCGCACAGCTCGTTTCATCTACATGATTTTTGCATTGCCTTGAATGTTAATATTTTATAAACGGGCATTGCAATCGCATGATTAGACGACGAACGCTTTACTATTAAAAAATAGGATTTTTTATACTCCGACGCGTTGAATATTTTAACGTTGTCTTTTTCTTTTCTCCAACGCAAAGAGTGCCTTTGTCTTATCTTTTCACGTATTGAGGCATGCCACCGTGACATTAATTAACGCTAACGCGTGTGATTTGCGTTTTGTGGTCGATCCAAGGACTTCGCATCTGTTATGGAAAAAAAACAATGCCGCAGTAAAATTCTTGGTCTTCAAAATGACCTATTAACAGAGTTGCATAGCGTTCAAAATTATTTTGTTATCGCGAACGAAAATGAAAAGAAAAAAGAAAAACCGGAACATCAGGTACCAAACAAAAGAATCGAAAGATTCTTCTCGAATGCGGTGGTAAATCAAACTTTATGTTTCATCCGAGAGTCAAACGACGAATTGAAAGCTCATCAAGAGAAATCATAAAAATCCAACAGGAAGTAAAGCCATTAGAAGAGATCGCCTTGAAAAACACAAGCTGTGTAATGTAACGAGGTTCGCAGAGCAGCCTTCGACAATGAATAACGGAAGAACGAATGGTATTATTTCGAAGCTTTCTTTCTCCATCGCACAGGTAAGTTCTCGCCGTGCATATGCTGGAATAGCATAAAAAAAACTGCTCTAACAGCGAGGATAAAACACGGCGAGCGTGTGTGTGTAACATTCGCGCGTTGCGCCTTATTAGCCTTCATTACCAGGAAAATTACTTGATGACAGCTTTTTTTCTTTTTCAACAAATAGCAAGCGCACGGAGCACCAAGGTAACTCGTAAATTTCGTAGCAAGCAATTAGCGGAAAAAGAAGTAGGCGCGACATAATGTGAGAGGCGATAGGGCCAACGATTCCCGCGCGAAGTCCGCGAGTTCGTCGACGTGGAAAAGCCCGCGGTTACGGTTGCCGATACGCGTGCCTACGCGCATAATCTCGCGCGACAGTGTAGGCACAGGGTGTGGCGTGCCCTCCAGCGCCCGAGAAAGAGCAAAATCACTCGCGCGAAGCCAAGGACGCGCGGAATCTCCGCGTATAACACACGCGGTTGTCCTCTCTCAATCGAATTGTCAATTGCGTGCTTACGTGCGTTAACCTATCGACTGCTGTTACGCGCGAATCGAACTCGCATTTTTTTTGGCTCCTCAAGCGATTTAATAGGCGCGCGCGCGACATCGATGCCTGTTCGCAAGCCATTTGTTCCAATTGATTTTGCGCTCACCTCGTTGGCTTTAGCCACTCGACATTGGCGTTTGTGCGCTGGGATCAACCGGAAAGCAAGTGTTCATATTTGGACGATTGTAGATTGTGCGAACTACTATTTCAAAAAAGCCTCGTGTCCCTCGACAATTCGAAGACGGGAAAAGCAACAAGGCTAGTCGACTTGAGAGCAGCGAGTAGAAAAAAGCCAAGGAGACGAAGATGAATCGCGCAAGCACGCTAACATAAGTGGCGGAGAATGACACAAATTGAATTCGGCGGCAGGGTTGGTGGCGCTGTTTTCGTTCTTCTCCTCCTCCTACAGTGATACACATAGCTAAAAGCCCCAGTGAACTTATAGTTTGCGCGGCCAACTCCGCAGTGAGTCACGGCCAGTGTCTGCTACTGTGTGACGTAGACTGCACCGCGGATAGCTCGCTGGGTGGGCGCTACCTCGACTGAGAGGAGAAAAAAAATGATCTTACCGTTTTGATCGACCTCCCCTAATTTCGCTTTTGACAATCTAACATATTTCGTTATAACATATTCTAACGAATCGCTAGCCAAGATAAAAGTTATAGAGGACCCAAGATGTGAGTGCCTAAGCGAGGTTCAGGATCTCAATCATGTCATATGGCAATGCCCATAATGCACGAAAAGCAAAGAAAATGGTTGATAACGGCTTTAGCCAAAAATAAGCATTTTCTTCCTCTCGATATAAAATGTTTCCTAAGCGCCCCCGACATTAACGTTATTCAATTAGTCTGTAGGTTCTTTGAAAAATGTAATATTAAAGTATAAGCTCCACAGTATACACAGAGACCTATTTGACTTATGTATTCTTATATATAGTCATTATACTTCCGTATTATTATCATTATTATTATTATTCTTTATTATATATATATTTTCTGTAAATAGCTAAATAACCTTATAATAAGAGTTAATAAAGTTTGGTTATAAAAAAAAAACATGTTTCGTAATTTTATTTCGACCTTTTGATGCGATGTTTTGCACTTTCCAAGCGTTGTGGTATTCAAGAACGACCTACTCTGCATTGCGGAAAATTGATTCGATGCCTTTTTTTATAATCGTATCGCAAGATATGAAACCACTGATATTGGAATTCTTTATATTACTAGTAAATTAAAATTTTATATCTTATCTCATCATCTCGTACAATTTTTCAAATTTAACGGAAATCTCGTAGTTGAAAGAATTTTAACTTGAAGAATTTTTTAATGCATTGTGCCCGAGAACAATGCCGTTGTTCACAACCAAAGAAAATACTTAGACGGGAGTTATTCAGGCAAACGCTACACGTATATATCTCTTTTATGATTCACCCAACTGTTTTCCCAAAAGCAAAGTCATTCCCCTCACCAGGCGCAAAACAGAATGAAAAAGATGTATACCTTTCCATATCAGTACAATCAGATCTCGTAAATCGCGCGACTGACTGTCATAGAAAGAAACTTTCTCACCGACTGTTTTATCTTGATTGACGTCGATTTTAATAGTACGTATATTCTCAGTACACTATTGACCTTTCAAGCCATTCGTTTGCAATTTTGACAAGATTAATATTATATGACATAAACGATAAGTTGCACTTGGGAAATTCTTTCTGAAGTGAAGTCTTAATGGTTTCTTGATTGATAGTAACAGCCGCGATGTTACATATGAGCATTCATTATATTCTAAGCGTTTGGAATGAACGGGAATTCAATTTGTAGATGGAGATATTGTCTTTTGCGTCGAGACTTGATGTTCGAATACATCAAGCGTTGTTTTGTCTTGATGACTGATGGCCGCAATCTTATATGTATCGACTGTAATCATACTCCAGCAATGTGTCTTACAGAATTCTCGTAAATTCGTTCTGATCATCATGCAGTCAGTGGCCTTGCATTAGCAGCGTCGCATTTTCCAAAATTCAATTTTCACTCGTGCAGCGCAATAAAACTCGGTCTCACGTTGTACTCCCTTGGAAATACACTTTAGTCGGGAAACGAGCTTCATCTGAGCATTATAATTCAATGAAGGTTTGATTAAAATCGAGAATGAAATACAAAACGAGTTATGCATTGTTGCAAGAAACGAGAAAGAAAATACAAAGCGCAAGCATTTTCCATTTATTTCAAAACTACGCCTTCAATGCCCTTCCGCGTTCTACGTGATGCGCGACAATTGGTGTATCATCGTCTCATCTTCTGAGTATGAATAACAAGCGAGCGTTTAATATCCCATAAATTCATAATGAATCAGCAAATGATGGAGGAAAATAACCCAGCCAGCATAGAATTCCGCAGATCAGAGGATTTCTTATTATTGAAGTGTATTAGGACAGAAGGAAGGTGAATTAAAATGCATTGAATAACTCATTCACTTCAGATTCCTTCTTCATCGGTATGCTGCGTGAATTTTTTACAGTTATGTCAGCCGCACTTTACGTGCTCATTCCTTGTTTATATAATGAATATGCAATTTGATGCTTGAATCAAATCAAAACTGTTATAAGGGAAATTGAAAATTTTCATAATACATAGATAAATTAATTACACGGCTTAAATGCTCAACAACTGTCGATAATAATTAATAAATAATTGTTTAGTTACGTTGGTATTCGAATTCAGTAACCACCTCGAATTTCATAAAATGATAGCTTGTGAGTTATAATGGGCAGAGCATCAATTTCATATCCGTTTTCTTTCTGAATAAATTGAACTCTTAGCTGCCTTCATAATTTAATTTTCTTTGCTTATTAACAGATTTATCTATAATTTAAAAATATTTTTAAAATATCTCTGTATTAATAGATATCATGTTAATATAATTACTGTAAGTCAGTTTTAAATAATTCGGCGCCGCTCTGTTCTCAAAATAATTTTCAAAATTTGCACGTTTAAAAATCCACGTAACTATGACTTCTCAGCCGTGACAATTTTGAAATTTTTCTTACGGTTATAAGTTTAATTTAAAAATTACATCAAATCAATTACTGCATTGAATGAGTTGTGTAATCATTCGACAGTATTTT